TGATATTGATATTTTCAAGCCGTGAAAGAGAGCTTCGTACTCGGCCGCATTATTAGACGCTGGAAAGAAAATATGGAGGACGTACTTTTAACTCTTCGCCCCGTGGAGAATTGACGAACAACACTCCTGCCCTTGCGCCATCGATCTTGAGTGAACCATCGAAGTGCCTTGCCCATTGCTCGTGTGGTGACGATGGGTTGATATCTCGAACCTCGATCCACTCGACAACGAAGTCGGCGAGGCGAGTACTTGAGATTTGATTGCAGATCGAGGAGGAAATTCAATTGTGAGACCTCGCTCCCAGTTTCATAGCCCACTTGATAATTCTTCCATTGGCATCGGAGTTTCGTAGAATGTCTCCAAGTGGTAAGTCAGAGATGACTTTGACCACATCAGATTGGGAAGTTACGGTGCAGCTTGCGAGAAGTGATTAATATGGCATATAGAAGCTTCTGAACTTGTAGGTAACGTACAGTTAGAACTTTGCTGATGAAGTAAATAAATCCTTGTACCTTTTGAAGTAAAGAATTGTGTCAGGACCTTACTTATGGTTTTTTCGCAAACTGTAAGATTCCACATTTTTTGTATGTCCAAAAATCCCAATTTTTTGAAACTTTTTATGCAAGTATGTATTTACCCAAAGTTTTATGGGAGCTAGTTGTGCAAATCTAATTTTTAGTTCGAAGAGCAAACTGATTTTCCCAAAAACCATTTGCAGATTTGTGGTCCTGGTTTTATTTGGATTTTATTGGTGTTCTTTCAAATTTGGTTGAACTCTTTGTAAAATAAATCAAATAAAGATAAAAGATCTTATCCCTAACCCCCTCTTGCCTTCGGGCCGAACCTGGCCCGGCCAACCTGGGCGGAACCTGCCGATCTGGCCCAGCCGAGCCCGCCACCCCGACGCCGATATACCGGTCCCACCCGTCAGACGTAACGCGTCCCGTGCCCGCGCCGTCGTCCTTGGACACCCCGCCGCCCTTCGTCACCCCGCTGCCAGGTGGACCCACCCCGGACTCCGTCGCACCCACGCCGTCCCCGCCTTGGGTCGGTCACTGCCGCCTGGGGCTCGCGCGCACTGCTCTTCTTCCTCCTCACCCGCGCGGACCCCGTCGCCTCTCACCTCTCTCTCGCCTGCCTCGCCCACGACGTGGCAGGGGGACGTTGAGCCCTGCCGGGCGCTTCTCACTGCCCGCCGGCCGGGCCCTCTCGCTCACGAGAAAGGAGGAGGGCGATGACCGATCGAGAGCGAGCCGCCCGCCCTGACCGAGCCCGCGCCCGTCACGCCATCGTCCCACCGCCCGTCGCTGCGCTTCGCTGAAGACGATCCTGCACAGCAGTACATACAGCACCGGGTGGGTGGATTGGATCTCGCAACGAGCGGCTCTGCGGCTGCCCACAGACGATGAATTCCAATGGGTCACGCGCGGTGGAGTACGTACGAGCGCTGCCTCTTCGATCGAGAACACGTACGAGTGTCGGCATTGACCATCGAGGACACGGACGAGGGGCGGCGGCGGAAGGAGGGTGTTCGGCATCGAGTTCATCGCGTACGTGGGCGCGGCCAGCCGAGGCCGCAGACGCTGTTTGGGCCGACGCACCAGCGAAGGACCTGAAGCCTTGTGAGGAGTTTGAGTAGGAGGCCGGCCGTCAACGCGACAACACAGACTCTAGATCCTCCTGCTTTGCTTGGGGCGCTTGATGGAAGGGCGTGTCGGTGAGGATCTCGTGAAGCCGCCGTGGCGGCAGTGGGAGATCCTGTTGGTCGCCGAAGAAGGCGCACTGCTGATGCGCGGCGAGGCAACATGCACGCTGCTGATGAGCCCAGTAGAGACTCTGCATTTTAATGAATATACGCACATCAATTGGATCCTGATAGAGATGGTGGAAAATATCCTTCTCCGTATGGGGTTAGAAGTGTGCAACCTATATACTCTTCACAGATAATAATAGTTCGATAATCACTCCATCTGCATATATTGTTTTCTTTTGTCACTCAAAAAACCAAAATCCTTAAAGGATAAAAAATAATATGCATCTTACCAATATTCGAGCGGTGCTCATCTTATTTTAGATAATTCTACTTGCAGCATGGTGAAAAAAGGTATTTCTTAAATATTTTACTAGTATAGTGTCCGTGCTAACGCCACGGCTTTATTTTAGGATGCACATGAAAACAATCAAACAGAGAGAGGAGTGGAAGCTGCTCCGAGAAGTCTGGCCAAAGTTTGTTATTTTATGGTTTGCTAACAAATCAAGCCCCCTTGCAATGACTCCCAAGTGCTTGTGGTCATAGGAGTACTGGTCCTGTAATTCAGTGAGTTCCAATTCTAATGTGACGTGAAACCGTGCAATTTTTAGTTGTTGATATGGTGTATTGAGAAAAGATACTTCCGTACAAGGATTAATTCTTATTAAAAATTTCAGTAAGAAAAAAATGCTCCTTGTGATAAAATAAACGATCAGGTAATCATCCAGTATACTTTGAACTCGGCACTATAATAAGTAATAGTAGCAGATTCTTGGCATCCTCATGATCTGTGGATGACTGATGTTCACATGAAGATATCTCATGATTACACAACAGTGAAAAACAAAACTATCCGTTGTGTTTCCTTATCCGTTACAAAAAAATGCTCGATGCTGCATATGCAAATGGAAGGCGGGGATCTTCATTCAGACAGTTGCTGCTTTGAGGGTGAGAAAATCTGTGATTTGATTTGTGTAGAAATCCTGCTGGATCGAGTTGTCGGGGCTCTGAAGCATCTGCAGGGAAGTCACACCTGCAAGCAGCGGCGGATCCAGAAAATATTTTAGGGGGGGCTGAACAACACATACCTTCGACTGCTGCTCGATTTTAAGCCTCAGCCCCACCTACGCTATAAAACTTTGCCTAAAAATTCATGAGGGCTCCACAGGGGTTCCACTGCTCCTCTAGCGCTAGGGGGGGGCTTGAGCCCCGCCCGCCCCACCGCTAGATCCGCCGCTGCCTGCAAGAGACAGCCAAGTGCCTGTATCAGAGTTAGAACTGAGGAATTGATGAAACCTGAGAGAGCAAAACCATAGCCTGCTGCAGCCATCTAATTTAAGAAGTATTATATTGCCCGTGCTATGGTTTGGTTTAAAAGTCCTTGTGATGCTGAATGTTGACATTCTGAGAATTGCCTGCATATTGACAGTAAAATAACAGTCTTTAAAAACAGTCCTAATAAAGTTGACAGCAAAATAGCAGTCTTTAAAAACAGTCCTAATAAAGAAGATGGAAATCTTGCAATTTACAAGTATTTTGCAGGTTAAAAATCAATTGCATGACAGATAGTACAGCTGCTTCCCACTAAAACTTATGATCTGTATATACCTGAGAAATGCATTACTTCCTTTTTCCTTTAGGAGGTATCTCCTATGAAAATTACAAGTACAAGGTTCTAACCAAAAATGCCGTTAGAATTGTGATACATCAGGCGTTTGAACTATGAACCAACAACTATTTGAACACAAGGCACCTCAGAGTTGAATGTCAATCTTACTAAGCACTCAAGCTTTTAACAAAAAAAAAGCCCTAAAGCTTTTAACAAAAAAAATTACAGGGCTAAATATATAGCAAGGATCTTCAGAAACAAGCACCAGTTGAACTTAGGTCCCGCTTGGAATATGAAGATTTCACATTAAAATATTTTAAATTCCCTAGGAATTTATACATAGCCTAGCTACTTCCCAAGTAAGATGGATATGAGCAAGACATCTTACTACACTGATGCATATTCTGGAGGGGTGATCAGAGATGGAGTTGGGTACTTCTACTCAATGACTTGAGTGATCACATCAGAATTAGCAATCCATTTGCCATCACCACCGTTATACACATGCACCTTACCCACTGGGCTGTTCTTCAGAAACCTGAAAAAAGGTTCTACAGTAGGTTAGATGTGAAAATCACAAACACACAAAACCCCCGAGTCCAAATGGGCTAAACTACACCCTTGGCTCACTGAAATTTTCAGAAGCTGCAAAATCTTCTCCCATATTCAAATTTAGAAAAGTCATCATAAATTTAGATGAAGGGGTGTATAATTCCGGAAGTGCCAGCACAAACTGAGAAGGTTGTTTAGGTCATTTGAATATTTCATAACTAATGGCTTGTACAGAGAAAAACTTCATGCCTTCTCCAATGCCCCTAAACTGGCTGTGATCCAATATATCATAATTCCATCCAGTAGCATGTAGGTTGCATCAATGTGAAGCTAAGACTTACTCAACTCTGTAGAGCTAATACTGACGCCACCATAGCCTGCTGCAGACATCTAATTTAAGAAATGACATATTATTTTTGTGAAACAAACCTAATAGCTCATCCCTGCATAGTGCAGCAACCGCCAGTTAGATACCCATCACAGCAAGTTAACTTAAATTCACAAAAATAAATCTAATACAAAGTATGTAGGGGTTACTCAGTTAGTACTTGTAACCTGACTCTTGCTGCAAGAAAAAAAGCAAAACAGAGATAGTTCTCATGGCTGTGTACATGTTTGGAAATATTACTTACCACTCATCACCAGTTCACTACATCTTTATATACAATATTTTTGGTGCTCTTGCTTGTAGAATCCAGTACCTTGTTTGGTTTCAACATAATTCTGGTTGTTTGCCTTGAAACTCCCCTTGACAAAGCGACATAAAGCTGTCCATGTGAGAACACAGGTTCTGGAAGGTAGATGCAACATTTGGGATGGACTGCCCCTGCGCTTTGTTTATGGTCATTGCAAAACTTAAGCGAATCGGGAACTGTTTCCTTCTCATTTTGAAAGGCAGTGAAATATCATCGGACGGAGACATTGGAATCCTAGGTAAGGAACACCCTTCTGCCTGCATGCTGCCCACCAACAATTTCAGCATCAACTGCGTTGTCCTAGAAGGCTCTAACCATTAACCTTGTTCCATTGCACAATTCATTGTTTGGATGAAGATTGCGGAGAAGGATCACAGGGCAGTTGGTTTTTTACTTAGCTCTTCTGTTGTAGCAATTTTGCCTTGGTTGTCGCATCCGTATTTAGGTACCAGTTTCGCCAAGACCACAGCTTGGCAGTGCTTGAAGAGGCACCTGGTCACCATTGTAAACAAGAGATATATTTGATCCAATCTGTACCTCTCGGAATTTACCATGCCTTAGATAGATGGAAGCATACCTGAGTTAATTATGGTGCCGTTTGGACTCTCAGTCTGCAAAGACCTCAATGGTGGTCGTGTTTCCTACCGTATTCATCATTCCTATGTAGCCAGTCTGTGGACTCAATTGGATCATCATAGCCAGCTATAAAATAAGTTATTTAGTAGCCACCTCCATTTATGATAATTTTATATACTAATTTACGTTAATGTCAATACATATTTATGATAGTTGGGTTACTATAACACATGGGGATATTTACCATAACGTTATAGTAAACCACTTAGTAAGGAGTTACTATAATCTCGTAAATTAATATAGTAATTAGTGTAACTCAAAGTGGCTACAGAATAAGTTATTTTGTAGCTAGCTACATGATAGTAGTTCTATAGGGAGAGTATATTCAGTAGCCAGCTACAAAATAAGTTATTCTGTAGCCACCTCCATTTACGATAATTTAATATACTAATTTATGATAATGTCAATACATATTTACGATAGTTGAGTTACTATAACACATGTGGATATTTAACATAACGTTATAGTAAACCACTTAGCAAGGAGTTACTGTAATATCGTAAATTAACATAGTAATTATCGTAACTCAAAGTGGCTATAGAATAAGTTATTTTGTAGCCAGCTACATGATAGTATATCGTAAATTAACATAGTAAGTATCGTAACTCAAAGTGGCTACAAAATAAGTTATTTTGTAGCCAGCTACATGGTAATTATCGTAAATTAATATGTTAATTTATGAGATTATAATAACTCCTTACTAAGTGGTTTACTGTAACGTTATGGTAAATATCCCCATGTGTTATAGTAACTCAACTATCGTAAATATGTATTTACATTATCGTAAATTAGTATATAAAATTATCGTAAATGAAGGTGGCTACGGAATAACTTATTTTTTAGCTGGCCTCCAACTTGCGATCGTCTCTGTGGAAACTAAGATAACTTTTGGTTGGGGTCGTCTCTGTGGAAACTTGCGATCCCACGCTCCGTGCCTCCGTAGGCCGCCAGGTGGGACCTGCAACCACCGGCAACGAGAACCCAATCACCGGCAATCATGGCTTCATCGGTCCTCTTCATCCTCACAATCTCCGTCAGTCTACCTTCCCCCTGCACTCACGCGGTGGATTTGGCCTTCCTTCCCGATCCCTCAGCCCCGTCACCATCCCGACTTGCCTGCGACCGCCGCCACCATCCCGCGTCCTCGCACACGATGTCGCACGCCACCCACCATCGGCGCCGCCAGCACCGACCTCGCCCTCGGCCTCGCCCTGCAGTCCGCGGAACAGATCGATGACCATCGCCACTGGTCCGCCGAGAAGGAGAAGAACCCGCACCTGCCGCCGCCGAGGGAGAGACGGCGAGTATCTCATCCTCGCCCAACGCACGCCCTCCTCTTCACGGCCGCTGGCGAGAGGCCGTCGCAACCCGCCGTGGAGGGAGAGGCGAGGTCCCAGCCGGCGGCTCCCTTGCCCCAACCCCGGCAGCCCCACAACCCCAGCCCCGGCGCCCCCGCTGCTCCCAGCTTGACCGCTCCATCGCCGCCGGAGACCACTCTGCGCCTGCATCAGCACCTCGCCACGTCGAACGCCGACGGAGATCCCGTCGCGCCACGACTGCCCCGGCCCTTGCCGAACCGCTGCCGCAAGAGAGCGTCGCCGCTCGGGGCAACAGGACGACGTCGAAGCACCACGACTGTCCCAGCCCTCGACCGCCGACTACCCCTCGCCATCGTGCTCCGTGGCTACCCACGTCGCACCTTGCCGGTAAGTCACCTAGCAGAACGTCTGCACAATCCCGATCTACTAAAAAAAATGGAGTAACCCCATCTGAAAAAATCTATTGGTTGCTCGAATTCTGTTTGAGTTCTTTGGTTGTGTGCAGAGTAGATCTATTTGGTTTTAGCCTTTTGGTCTTTAAACATTGGTTTTGGCTAAGAAAATGAAGAGCTAAGGAAAATCGAAATCATGCTGCTAGGAGAATGTTAGTACAGCCAAAATAAATTTTGTAGAAAATGGATTTTGATTTCCAGTAAATCGAGTAAGCAATTGTGATATAAAAAAAGGTTTAATTGGGCATGCTTTCACTTCAAATCATTTGTATCAACCGTATCAAGGTTTCTGTCGTCTCAGAATAATTTAAATTTCTGTCGATGGCAACGGGAGAAAAAAAGGTTATCAAACCTCAACCTCCAATAAGTGTCAGCTTGCACAACAGATGTAGTAAGTCAACGTACGTATAATTGAAGAGCCAAATTGGGGAAGTACTTCTTAATAAGGAATAAAATTCCTATGACGTATGTATGTCTCAATTCAGTAGGAAGCTTTTCTAAGCGTGGCGATCCAATATGGTCCAACTGATAACCAGTAAGATATCAGTATAACCATTGCTAAATATTTATATTGAACAAAGCTAAGCTACCACATTTGTTTCTACCCAAAACAACAAACTACAAGCGTATATAGTTAAGGGAGTTCCGGTGGAAAAGGGATTAGAATTGCTTAAAATTTCATAAGTTACATCACATATAAAATATATATGTATATCACCTCTAGAAAAAAAAAAGAGAGAGAGAAAGATGAGTTTGAAATGGCCCGAAATTTATATATCACAGTCACTTTCTCCTGAATCTTTTGTGACTCCTCCATGACCATGAAAGCAACAAATGACAAGTGCAATCCCAAGCTTTCTCTGAAGGATGATCTGCCACGCAGATGTTGAGATAAGAAGCTCTTGCATATATAGCCACAGACAACAAACAAAAGGCTCCAAACTTCTTGACTGGTTTGCTGTGATGATCAAAACCCAGACTTGGTAGAAGTAATCCAGACTGAGTAGCATTCTTAGGCTAACCCGTATTGTAAGTAGGAGTTGTACTCACGGATGGTTGGAACAGCAATCAGCTAACCACCAGAGGTTCAATCTATACGACCAAGGGATTCCTTAGAGGGATTCATAGACAGAACTTGAGGAAGAATATGTTAAGCTCCACGGTCATGAAGACAACACATAGGAACAGGACTTGATGAACCACAGTGGCTCCATGAAAGGATGCCACTGATCTTTATCCCATTGTGCAGCAGCTAACTGGCTCAACGACCTTTTCACCTGCAAGCCAAATGGAGTAAAAGCTAGTCTTCACAAATTGAACTAATTAGTACAGGAACAGCAAGAAGGGCAGGCCTGGTGCAGTGGTGAGAGCTGTCTCACTGAGTCACCAGGTCGTGGGTTCGAAGCAGCTTCTCCGCAGATTTTGCGGGGGAAAGGCTTGTCTCGGTTTATCCCTTCCCCAGACCCCACTCGTGTGGGAGCCTCCGGCACTGGGTCTGCCCCCCTTTTTAGTACAGGAACAGCAACAGACTAAATGAGTATAGTGTTCTATTCTGTTATCCTATTACTTTAACAATAAACAAAAAAGTGTTCTGTCCATAAGAAAATTTAACTAACTGGTAATAATAAATAAGATTATAATTATAATGAGCAAAAACCATATCATGTAGAGGCTGAGTTTGCATACTCCAGTTGCTTGGCCAAGAGACGCTAACTTAGACAAATTTCTCCTCATCCCGTATGTGTGCAGGGACATCTTTCTCTGAAGATACAGTGGTAGATTGATTGGTAAATTCAACTTACAAACTGAATATGTGAATAACCAGATAAATGTATGAAACTTAAAGAACATATATCTAACATTCCAGCTTTATCAAGAACAACAGATAGAAAAATATCGTAAACAGGTGGCCGATAATAATCAACTGACCTGGTAAGGATGGCACTGAAATCTCACCTCCTCAAGCAACAGCAAAAACTATAGTAAGGAGAAGATATAAAAAGTTTTAAACCCAAGTTACTTGAGTGAAATCGATAAGAGAAAACACCAAGCCATTAGTCTGGCTAATCATAAGGAGAGGATGTGAGTGATGGTAACATTTTTGCTTTCTTTATATAGTTCATCGTATCAAGCCAAGGTTTGAGTCAGCTAAGTTCGTTTTCCCACTTGTCCAGCACAGCAACAGACAAAGAATTTCGAGTGGTGGGATAAAATCATAGCTGATCCCCTATGGTGCATGTAGCACGAGACAAGCCCCAGTCGAATAATTAGGGCTGGCTGAAGCAATAATACTTTTCATACACCTAACCACAAGATGATCATTTTTTTTCTGTCCTATAATAGGAGCTTGGGAGGGGAACACAATAAATATGTTGGCGTCCTGGTCTAAAGCAACCAAGCAATATTTCTTACCTGAAGAAGCGTGAGCTGTGCGAACAGCATGGTGGCCTTTGTCTGCAGCATTCATAAAATTATATGAATCCAGTTCATTCAGGAAACTGTAAAGAATCACCTTCTCCAGATCACAAAGGTAATATAGTATATTGTAATCACACAGCAAAATTTTTAATCCACAAATATTTCTCTTTATAAAGTTTACAGTAACTTCTTTGACAAGTAACACTTACAGAATATGCACGGTAAAGTCACTTCCCATAGCCAATGAGGCAGTTCTCAATAAGCATATAAAGATTGGCAACAGAAAAGAATAGAAAAAGAAAACCATCTGATCTATAGAACCCAACATCATAATTTTTTTTTGACAGGTATATGTTGTGAAAATATAGTCAAGTGCTATTACCGATTTGCATGTTTTAAACACTGTAGTTAATACCAGGCCCTTCCCAAAATTTCCCTCTAAAGGGAAAAGTTCACGTGGTACGCACATGTATATGGATCAGAAAATAGATAATTAATTCGAGCTGCATTGGTAGCCTGCAAACTGAAAACAGAATGGACAACCTGCATTAACAGTTTTCGCCTTTGAGAAAAAAATCAATTAGGACATAAATTTGACCAATAATTGTTTCTAAGAAAAGAGAACAATACCAACAACACAAATTCATCCAGTTATTCACCTTTATGAGCATCTCAGAGACTCAGACCCCTCTGAAGTCCAAAGCAGGGGGATGGAAGCTGATGCCAGGCAACACAGCAGTGGGCACCATGACCTCGAGGCTGCCAATTTGGAACCTACCACAGGAAGCCTAATAATTTTGGAAAACGGGGAAGAATTTGTAACCTGTGCTTTCTGAAGAAAATGAGAAAGAAAGCTACATACATGATTGTGGAGGAGGCTATGCAGCCTTGTTTTTCAGATCCAAACTGAAACATTCTGCAGGTGAGTTCCAGATCTCAGTGTCAAGCCATTTCTCAGCACCCATGCTGACATGCTTGCTGCCTCCATACTTGTACAAGTAAAGGAGCGTCTGATCGAGGAATAACAGCTTACTTGCATGGAACCTACAATGGATGTCCAAATTTAGCAAATCCTCGGTAAACTCCTATATGCTAAAATCTTAAAAAATTCTTCAAGAACTACTCTTGTCGCTATAAAAGAGCAGAAAAAAACGTAATACTACTCAGCGGAATGTCAAAAGAATCAGTGAAGAGGAAGAAATAGCCACACCAAGAAGCAAACCTTGCTTGATCCGCTTTTGTTCTTGTCCGGCTCGGAGAGAACAGGATTCAAAGACGAGATGAGGAACTTCTGAACTTGTTCAGCTCGGCGAGATCAGGATTCGAAGCCTGCGAATATATTAAACTTAACGGAACATGTAAAATATGGAGAAATCTGTTACCATGTCATGGCTTAGATAGTTTTTCATAATCCTTGTAACGAAGTTTCCATCTTCATGTACTTTAAGGTTGCCATCCCGTTTTAGCAGTCCAGCGTTAATATGATTCTAGCTCCAATCTGAATGGAGTAAACACAAATCAATGAGCCAATTATATCCAATTTGACATGCAAATTAACAATCCATCATAGTAGCATCGTATGCAATGCAAGCAAATCGCACGGAACAGCACCACACCAACTTGCTGCGACAGCTGAAGCGAAATCGCTGCAGGACACACAAGACACGGGACACGTAGTGCTGACAGCCTAACATGGCATGCATGGTGGGGCAGTATGTATATTCTGAATTATACAGAGCAACGCGTAGTACCTGCTGCGGCGTGCGGCCGTCAGAACAATCAGTAAGGAAGCTAACCTTGTCGATCGTGTGTATGGCAAGAAGATTTGGTTCTTGCTCAGCTCAGCGAAATCAGAATTTGAAGGTGAGGTTTGTACGGCAAGATCACGAGCTTCTCTGCTCGGCGAGATCAGGTACTTGTTCTGCTCGTCGAGGCGCTTCCCTGCTCAGCAAGATCAAGTAATTGTTCTACTCGTCGATGTAATAATACTAATATTATTACGACAAATAAATTAATAACCATTGTCATTTTAAATAAGTTTATTACATGTCGACTAAAATATTATGCCATACAGTACTATATTTTTAAAATAAATAAAATTAACTTTAAATCTACGTGTAAATAATAATATAAGTTATTATGGTAAATAAATTAATACCATTGTTATTTAAATAAGTGTATTACTAGGTTCGTGCCCGTGCATTGCTACGGGATAGCTAAACTTTTATATTAAAAACACACAGATCGCACGATAAGATAACAATACTGTGAAATTAAATAGCGACATTAAAGTGACATTTAATCTAGAAAACAAAGTTC